AAAAGTCGAATGATTCTGATTTGTTCAGAAGCAGAATCAAAATCATGCGAAATGAAACTTACCACAGTTTTTTAAACACTGCTTCCCACACACCGTCAAAGCGCATCCACCGCCCGTTAAACAAATGGTCCATAAGGTTTTGCCGTTCCGAATTTTCCCAAATGGACCGGCATCAAAGCGCATATAAATCTAACGACCGTTTGTTTGGCGATAGTTGGGCGATAGTTTTTCGGTGCAACTCTGATTTCTTCTTCTTAATAGGGTCTTTCCACACAACGTTAAAGCACATTCACCGTCCGTTGATCAAACTGTCCATAAGGTTTTGCAGTTCCGAATTTTCCCAAATCGACCGCCGCACAGTAGCGCCTTTTCTCATTCAGCGTTGCAAAAATCATATCTTTTGAACCAAATAAGGTAATCGAATAATTTAAACGGCATTGGACAGGTAATTGTTGTAAACTGTATATATGTACTGCATAAAGTACCAGGCCCACAAATACGCCTTTTTAAAGGAGATCAAAGTAAAAAAACAATTTTTTTTTCAATGAAAACAATTTTTAAAAATTATTTTTTATTTAATTTTTTATGTTTATTTTTATGTATTTGCTCAAATAAAAATAATTTGAAAACTAACAAAAAAAAAATTTTTTATTTCAAAGTGTAACCGCCACGCGCAACAGTTAGTATATTCCCGTTTTTTTGGGCTTTTTTTGGCTTTTTAAGTTGTCCTTTATTCAGTTTAAATGATATACAGTTTGCATACTTATTTTATACGTAATACTAGGTGGACTAAAGCTAGTTTACAGAGATCTTGGATTTCTATTTTGCCTCGCGCTATTTGCATTTCAAGGTGCTAGTCTTTTTATGTTTTGTTTATATTATATTTTGCTTGCGTGTTTGTACTGTTTGTTTTAGACTTATGCTCATTATTTTTGTTGCGTATGTGACTGATGATAAATACTTATTTATAATCATTTTGAATGCATTGTTATTTTTTACATATTAAAGTTAAGTGTTAATAAAATGAATTTAAAACATTTGTTGAATTTTTACCGTACAAGTATCAATAAAGGGAAACCTATCATATATGAGCGGCTAGGGCGTGGTCAGATCGGTATAAAACTGTACATATATTTTCATATGTATTGAAGAGACTAACTTAAAAACTTTAATTTTCGTCGAAATATCGGCTCACTGGCCCAATGTGCAGTGGTCTATTTATGTTTATTCCACACCACCACTAGATCATTTTGGCAGGTAGTTATTTTAATACAATCGATTGTATCGATATTCATGTAAAAACATCGATAGTGCCCCTACTCGATGTGTTCGATAGTGATAGTCCAAACCATCGATATTTTCGATAGTATCAATCGAATTATTATTTAATTTTTTATTTTGTATTTTAAGCGTATTTGCTTTTAATTTTTTTAATTGCGAGGTATGAATACATCTGCGACAAAAGCCATACAATGTTTTAAACTATTAAACACACATAAAAACAAATAGGTTAAAAATTTAAAAGATTTTGACTATAATAATAAAATATACTTTTTTTATTCATAAGTTAGAAAACTTAAAAATTCTCGTATGTTTTAAAAAGTCGTTATAAGATCGTTTGCCTTCTGATGCTAAAATCGAGAACATTAAAACTATTTGTAAACCCCTAAATTTTCATATGGCGCGCCCTAGTGTGACCAACCATTGTATAGTTATCGATAAGAAACCGATCATAGAGTTAAGTTGGATTTTGTAAAACAGAAAGGACGGTCACTTTGGATCTTGGCAAAAAAAAGCGACGACAACGTGATTCGGATCAACAATTTAAAAATCATTAAAAATAAAAGCCATCCGTTGTAAATATTATTTCAAATAAACTAAGGAGTTTACAAATCAGGTGTGGGGTTCGCCCAAAACATTATTTCGTCAAGAAATACGCCGACATACTCAACCTGACGATGGAGGAGTTATCTAAATGGCTTTCTGAGAAGCACGTGCCGCTGGCCGGGAAGGAGACCATTCACCAGTTGCGGGGAATGGTAAAGACTATGTTCGACCAGGATGATGCCGCCTGGATGGAAGCGGAGAGCGTTGCGAATAGCGTGGTAGAGAGCAGAGCGGAGAGCGTCGTGGGAAGGGAGTGCGAGCAGGAGGATCGAGGGCCAAACGAGATGGCCGAAATCATGAGGCAGATGGCGCTGTATGCAGCACGAAAGGATCTTGCGGAGCTAAAGGCGAAGGTTGCCGCCTTGGAAGGCAACTCGCTGGACGGCAGGCCCGTTGTTGATGCCAGGGACCTTGAGACTAGTTTGCGCAAATTTTCTGGAGACGATAACATGTCTGTGCACGTTTGGATTCGTGACCTCGAGCTTGCTGCAGTTATGCACGGATTAAGCAACTCCCAACGTTGGCTGTTGGGCAACCGAATGCTGGAGGGCTCGGCCCGCTCGTACGTGATGCTCGAGAAGCCCGCTACTTGGAAGGAGTTATGCGAAAGCCTACTAAAAACCTTCGGATTCCGGATGACCAATCACCAGGTGGCAAAGCAGTTACAGAGTCGTTCAATTCTGGAGAACGAATCGTTGTTGCAGTATTTTATTGCGATGCGTCACATTGCGGAGCAAGGAACCTTTGAGGAAACAGACATCATAAAATACATTGTTGATGGTCTGCAGGACAAATCCGGATGCGCAGCGCCATTGTATTATTGCGTTTCCCTAGACGAGCTGCGCGAGAAGATGATGCGTTACCAGATGGTACACCCGGAGGACAGGCAGAAGACATCGGGAGTGGTACGTCCAGTTGCACCTTTGCGGCAGGTGCCTGCAACAAAACCTACACATGCCGGAGGAGATGTCGAAAACGTAAGGTGCTTTAATTGCCGAGCGATGGGGCACTTCAGCAGCCAGTGCGAAAAACCGAAGCGACCGGAGGGAGCTTGTTTTCATTGTTTCGAGACTGGACACCACTATCGGCGGTGCCCTAAGCGTGTGCGAACAGCCGCCCTCAGTGCTGGTGACGGGCAAGACGAGAAGGAAGACGACGACGACGCCAGGGATGGAAACCCATACATTCAATTAGTAAGCCTAAGAATACTTAGTGAAGAGGGATGCATTGATGTTGATAACATTTTTGCGTTACTAGATACCGGAAGCCCCGTGAGTTTTGTTAGTAGAGGAGTTATTCCACAAGCAATAAAGAATGAACACCTAGTAAAGAGTAGATTTCGCGGCCTAAGCGGCCAAAATATTTTGACATTTGGAAAAATTAAGATAGTCCTTTTGTTTCAAGAAGAATATTACAGTATTGAAGCTTTTGTTATTCCTAATTTTATTTTACCTACGCCGATACTTCTAGGCAGAGATGTACTAAAACTTTTATCGCTTAAATTAGTCAAACGCAAAAATGTTATAAAAACAGATCTTAATAAGTTATCATTAAACAAAACTATTGCATTATCTACCGATTTAATTTGTGCATCCCTATTTACTAGTACACATAAGTTAGATAACAACATAATGCCAAGTAGAGAAAATTATTTACGTGTAAACGCACCTGCAACCCCGGCAAAGCCTCAGCTCTTTCAGGAATGGATGCAAGATTTCGCGAATTGTAGGGTACCGAATGAAGATGACGTAGTTAATGTAGGCAGTGAGTTTGGTGGTGCCTCAATGCGAGAGTGTCGTGAAATAGTATATACACAATACATTGATAGGTTTTCTAAAAGCTATGGTGTACCAAAATGCAAAATGTGCATTCGACTTACTGATTCTACACCATTTTATTGTGCCCCTAGAAGGTTGTCATATCGTGAGAGAGAAATAGTTTCCGAAACAGTTAGTGATCTTTTGGCTAATAGAATCATCCGACCTAGTAATTCGCCATATGCTTCAGCCGTGGTTTTAGTTAAGAAAAAAGATGGAAATGTGAGAATGTGTGTTGATTATCGTGGATTGAATAAGAAGACCGCTAGAGATAATTTTCCGCTACCCCTTATTGAAGACTGTCTAGAATATCTGGAAGGTAAATCCGTGTTTTCCGTCATTGACCTTAAGAGTGGCTTTCACCACATAGGTGTTGAAGAGGAATCTGTTAAATATACCGCCTTCGTGACTCCGGACGGGCAGTTCGAATACTTGAGGATGCCTTTTGGACTTAAAAATGGACCCGCTGTTTTCCAAAGATTTATTTCCGACGCCTTGAGAGATTTTGTAAGAAACCGACAGATTGTTGTTTATATGGACGATATTATTTTAGCATCGTATTCAGTAGAAGAGCATAAAAAGGTATTAGCTAGGTTGTTAGATCGACTCGTGGAGTTTAACCTTGAGATAAATTTTAAGAAAAGTAGTTTCCTGCAGAAGCGAATAGATTACCTAGGTTATGACGTTAGTGTTCAAGGAATTCTGCCTAATGATACACATTTAACTGCTATAAAACAATATCCGGAACCAATTAATAGCAAAACGTTACATTCCTGTCTTGGTTTATTTTCCTATTTTAGGAAGTTCGTCCCCAATTTTTCGCGTGTAGCAAAGCCTTTGACCGACCTTCTTAAAAAAGGGGGACCGTTTCCCATGTCGGATTCCGAAAAAGGAGCATTCCTGCAGCTAAGGACAGCGTTGTCGAGTCCCCCTGTGCTGTCTATCTTCAATCCGCAGTATGAAACCGAATTGCACACGGACGCAAGCTCTCACGGGTTTGGTGCTGTTTTGATGCAGCGACAGCCGGATAAGAAACTGCACCCTGTTTTCTTCTACTCGAGAAAGGCCACTGCAGCCGAGTCTCGCTATCACAGTTTTGAACTCGAAACCTTGGCAATCATATACGCCTTGCGTCGTTTCCGAATATACTTAGAGCATAAACCCTTTTTAATAGTAACTGACTGTAGTTCCTTGGTCCAAACTTTAAGTAAAAAGTCTATAAATCCTCGTATTGCCCGTTGGTCCCTTGAGTTAGAAAGTTTCAATTATTCGATAGCCCATAGGCCAGGGTCAAACATGGCCCATGTAGATGCGCTTAGTAGGCAAACAGAGATGCTGAAAGAATTGGAAGGAATTTCTGATCCGTGTCCTATTTCGTCAAGAGATGTTTCACCTCTTCGACCTTGTAGCCCTATTCAATCCCGTGTTTTTTCTGATCCGTGTCCTAGCTCGTCAAGAGATGTTTCACCTTGTAGCCCTATTCAATCCCGTGTTTTTTTTGAGTCTTGTGATCCTACTGCACCTTGTGTAGTTTCTGAACCCGTAAAATCTTGTGAACCGCGTGAAACTTTTAAATCTCGTCGATCTACTGATTCTTGTGAACCTAGGGAACATGATGTGCCCTGTGGTCCTGAGAAACGAGTTAAATCCGTTAGGTTTTCCCCTGAGGTTGAAGAGATTGTTGGAATTGTAGGTGCATCCCCATATGATATTGATTTACTTTTGCAGACCGAACAGATAAGAGATCCGGAAATCCGTCGAGTGCGAGAGAAGTTAGAGATTGGTGAAATGGAAAATTTCGTGTTGTTAGATGGGATCGTGTATAGAGCGAAGGATAGTGAGAAACTGTGTATGTATGTCCCGAGCCGAATGCAGGAAGATCTAATTAGAAAATTCCACGAGAAGTTGGGCCATTTTGCAACAGATAAGTGTGTGAATAAACTGAGAGAAAAATATTGGTTTCCTGGTATGAGGAGTAAGGTCGATCTATTTATAAAGAACTGCTTACCGTGTATCCTACATTCAGTTCCGAGAAGTATTCACAATAGGACGCTTCATAGTATCCCTAAAGCCCCGGTCCCGTTTGATACAATCCATATCGACCATCTAGGTCCCCTTCCGTCTATTAGTTCAAAGAGAAAGCATTTGTTGGTAGTCATTGATGCGTTCACCAAATTCGTTAAGTTATATCCCGTCAATTCAACCAGTACTAAGGAAGTTAATTGCTCTCTAGAAAAATATTTCGAATATTATAGCCGGCCTCGTAGAATCATCTCCGATAGAGGCACCTGTTTTACTTCTTTTGAGTTTAAAGAGTTCCTTGAGTGTAGAAATATTGATCATATTAAAGTGGCCACGGCGGCCCCGCAGGCAAATGGACAAGTTGAGCGTGTGAACCGGGTCCTGACACCAATGTTGGGAAAGCTATCAGAGCCCTTGAATCAGGCCGATTGGTATAAATTGCTTAACCGTGTTGAATTCGCTATAAACAACTCCGTTCAGTGTAGTACCGGAAAGACTCCTAGTTCCTTGTTATTTGGTTGTGAACAACGTGGTCCAGTGGTAGATGAGCTCACCGAGTATTTGGAAGAAAAATTTGATCAGGAGAAACCGCGATGTTTGGATACAGTAAGGGACGAAGCACTTGAGAATATATGTCAATCACAGGTCCGAAATGAAACCGCATATGGCTTAAAGCATAAGGCACCTACGTTGTACCAGGTCGACGATTTTGTTGCTATTCGTAACGTTGATGTGACCCCAGGGCATTGTAAGAAGTTTGCACCCAAGTATCGTGGCCCATATAGAGTGAACCGTGTTTTCCCGAACGACCGTTATGAGATTACAGATATAGACAATTGTCAGCTTACGCAACTCCCATATAAGGGAATCCTTGAGGCTGCTAGGCTAAAACCGTGGTTGCAAGTGTGTAATAAAACCATAGGAATGTGTATATGATCGAGGTCGATCAAATGTCAGGTTGCCCGAATGTAAACCCCTAAATTTTCATATGGCGCGCCCTAGTGTGACCAACCATTGTATAGTTATCGATAAGAAACCGATCATAGAGTTAAGTTGGATTTTGTAAAACAGAAAGGACGGTCACTTTGGATCTTGGCAAAAAAAAGCGACGACAACGTGATTCGGATCAACAATTTAAAAATCATTAAAAATAAAAGCCATCCGTTGTAAATATTATTTCAAATAAACTAAGGAGTTTACATATTAATGAAATACCAAGCACATTTCATTAACATGTTTTTCTTTTGATTATAATTATAAGCGAAAACATGATTATAAATTAAAGTTAAGAACTAGTTAAGATAATAATGATTATAATGAAATTAACAAAAGAGAGATCATCCGTTCCTCGGGAATTACATGATATTGATATAGTTGATTATAAATTAAATAAAGTTAAGAACTACTTGAGATTATAATGAATATAATGAGATTCCCGTTTCGCGGGAATTGTTGTTGATTACGAATTAAATAAAGAAAACGTTTGATAACAAAAAAAATAGCAAGTTTAGATAATCTATTCTTTGGAAAACTGCTCTTAATGACTTTGTACCACAAAAAATTTAATCCAGCAGCCACTGATTTCTGTTAAGCATAAGGAGCGTGTTTAAATGCTTTGGCTTCAAAGAAGTTCGTCTATCTGATATAATTGTTTTTATTAATTACCTTCCAATACGTAAGAGGATCCAGAGACTGCATAGAGTTAGGCTTCTCTGTGTACTGCCTAAGTGCCAAGATTGAGTCCACCCTCTTGTTTTTGATTTTAGTTTGACGTTTTTCTTGAACGTACCCAATTAGGGACAATCCGTCGACCTCTCTTTGTGATTGTTCTTCTGGCTCTACTTCGATTGTAGGAGAAATTGTTAGCTCATCCTGTAACGCCTTCATGGCCTCCGCGGCGTTGAAAGGACTTCTAAAGGCCTCCTTCTTAAATCTCGGATCCAACATAGTGGTAATCCAAGTTACCGTCCTTGTCTCGAACTGAAACAATCGAGCTTCAACTCCTTTCTTTAATAATTCACAGACTTTAAGTCCTTCTGTGGTTTGCAATTTGGTTGTAATTTTTTCTAGGTTTAAGTACAATCTGCACGCCACCGGTATTATTAAAGAAATTGTCACCTTTGTATCGCCAGAGAAATAATGCGTAGCATCGTCAAAAAATTTTAAAAGCTCGCAAATGTCAGTCAGCAGGTTTATTTCATCTGCATTTAACATCTGCTCCGACTCCGGAGTATTTAACAAAACTGAGCTGATTTCATTTTTCAATTTTTTAAAATACGTCACAATTGCTTTGCACTTACCAAGTGCCGACTTGACAAGCGATGAGGACAAAACATCTTGTACAACAAGATTTAGGGTATGAGCGAAACATCCCAAATGACGCTTCTTAAGAAGTTTGCACGCATTTAACATCGTAGCTGCGTTGTCCGTGACTATAGCAACCACTTTGTTAAAAATATGCCATTCATTCAACGCGAGCTCCAAAGTGTGTGCAATATTTTTACCGGTGTGATTATGTGCAACTAGTGATGTTAAATAAACGCGATATATCGATGGTGGAAAAAAATCGAGGTTTCGCGCAGCCCAGCCACTATCGATAATATCGATAGTACCATCGATGCTTTTACAGTTTTACTTCGCAGAGTAGGGAAAATGAATTTTTCAGAAGAGGAGCAGATGCCGGGGCCATCTCAAGCTCGCTGTTCGTGAGGTTATTCGAACAGAGGTCAATCAATAATACTTTCTTCCCACACAGCGCATCTGTGAGGAACAGTTGGAATTTTTCGCAGATGCGAAACTCGTGTTCCACACAGAGCTGCAAAGTCCATCTGCATCCAAACAAATGATCGATCAGCTGTGGCTCATAAAAACGTAAACAAAGGCTGTCGAATTTGTAACGCCTGATGCATGGGCAATATAAAGATACTTCCCTGGCGCCATCTAGGGAGTATCAGCGCAGTTCCAATCTGGGTGCAGAGCGGAGCTAAGGGGCGAAACTCACCTCTAACAGGGGCATGTGTCAGCGATCGGCTGCGACCCGAAGGAGGGTGAGAGCTAGGGAGAGAGATCCCGCGCGATTCGCGGCGGAGTCCGCTTTCTTTTGGTTTTTGGCAGCAGAGCGAATAAGTTCGACTTCAAGAATAAAATTAACAAATAAAGTTCGGAAAAAGTCACGCGAGTGGAAGCTGATTTTTTTTTTTCTACGCGTTGCCGCTGCCAAAACAAGAAGAAGTTAAAATAAAAGCCTTAGGAAGGAAAAGTGGTTTCCAGTTTTTAAGATCCCCAACAAGCTCAGCGCTGAGTCCCCCAGGGTGAGTTGTGGAAAAAAAGGAAATAATAAGGAAAAAGTATACTAAAATTAAAAAAAATCTATACAGGGCCCGGCGCTTAATAAAAGCCCAATTTTTCCCCACCTTTTCGGCGAAGAAAGTGCGCTCATTGGATGGAAAAAGTAGCGGAGCATAAACCAACCGCCTAAAACTTAGCTACAGATCCCAACAACACCGCCAACGCAGCAGCGAGCGATAAAAGGGAAAGGAGGAGCCCCTCAGCCCCTTGCCCCCGAATCTTCACCGTTGGTTTCTTTTCTTTGGGTCGGAGCATAGCCAGCATAGAAGCAGCATAGGGAAGCATAGAAGCATAGAAATTTGCAGCAACAACAAAAACTAGCGGGATGAGCGGCGACTAGCGGCGATTCTTTCTTATTGGTTTTTATCCCGCTCCGCGGTTCTGAAACAGTTACATCGAAGCAACCGCCAGCGCAACTCAGAAAAAATTGTTTCCGCGGAGCGCGCCTTCGGAAATCCGGGGAAGATTTTCAAATGCCGCGATCGGAGTTATCGCAGTCAAATTTTAGTGATTAAATAAATTTAGTGGTAGTTAAATTTTTTTACATTTTCTTTTGTTAATTACAAGAAAAAAGGATGAAGTAGTGAGCTGGGAAAAAAGTGATTAAATGTGGTTCGATCTTGGTCGACAATAAATTTTCATGTGTGTTAGGGCGAACCTTTGTCTTCCTGTTTCCCCCCTTAGTTTCAGCTAGCTCGTCGAAAGCGCTTTCGCCGGTGGATCTGCAACAAGGGTGAGTGAGTAAGAGTGGAGGATTCTCCAAGAAATAAAACGAAAAGCCTTATTATGCATGTCGCCAAACACATAAGAAAATAAAGAATAAATACAGAGAATTATACAATTAATGGAATATCGTATCAATCGGCAAGGCAATCAGCCAAGTTTTTTTGTTCGGTTTAGCCCACTGTACGCTGACTGAAATGATCTGAAGTAATCGTTTTTTTTTAAACCAATTTTTTGTCACTTTTATTCCTGTCTTCGCCATACTAAATCTATATATTAAAGTCCGTCAATAAAAATTATTTCGTAAAGGATTTAAGTGTACTCAGGAAATTTGGTAGTCTTTAGCATTATTTATTTATTATTATACCGTTATTTAAATTATGTTCAATATCTCAATTATATGTTCGTGTTTAATTAGGAAATAAATCACCTTTTATAATGTTTTAAAAAAAATTTAATTTATTAGCCTCCACCAGCATGCCGCCCCAGTAGAGCCAGCAATGGTTCATAGGGGTCATCAAAAGAAAGTATAGGTAATATCGGATTAGATGGCCAAGGTAGGGAGGGCTGACAAGGGACCTCGACAACATCTGAGGATCCCAAGCCCTTAGTATGTGTTAGTGAGGGAGTAGCCAGTCCGTGTGTGTTGTGATTATTTGATTTCCCTTCCCCCCTTCTCGTCGCGGCACGCAAAAATTTAGTAAGATACTGATTGCAAAAGGCCATCGCGAGATTCAGGCAAGACCACCACCACCAATAGCCGAAGAGCATAGCCGAGTAAATTGGCGTGCGTCTGAATCTTGCCTCAACATCTAGCCTGATCGTTACATTAATGATTATTTTAAAATCAGTATAATTATTATGGCGCCCAAACGTGTTGTCCAAATCAATGTTTTGTTTTGAATTTAATGTTTAAAATAATGTCACAAAACACATCGTTCTCTTTTGTTTCTCTTTGTTTTGTATCGGCTCTCTTAGTTTTTGTCGTCAGACGCATAGGAATACCAGGACAGGAGCGGTTCGCCGTCGGTCAAGGGCCACGGATGATGACGAAATCTGAGAAAACAAAAATCTTTTCGGTACATTTTTTTCGGGGACTCAGCTTTAACTCAAATAGACGCATAGGAATACTGGGAAAAAAATTATCAGTAGTTTTTACCAGGCCACGGATATTTGGGGGCAAGTCGAGATCTCTTACTAAGAGATAGCGAACCATGTCACGTCCATCAGTCGCATAGGAATACAGTACGAGTTTTTTTTATAAAATGAAACGACTGGCCACGGCTGATGGCGAAACAGATATGCCGTTCGCAAATGTAGGGTGCACTAGAGCCGCGAGTTTTCAAGGCAAAGGCGCATTGTTGTTGTGCTTCGGAGCGAGCAGTCAAAGCGGACGATGCGATTGCAGCGCGCTTATCAGAAGACATAGCTCCAGAGTAGCAGCAGTTATCTTCCCTTCTCTCTCTCTCATTATTCGCATAATTTGGGGTTTTAGTAAACAAAGCTTTACTGGAAACGCTGCTTGGTTGGATGGCAATAATAAATGTCGATATTTCCGTTTATTTGTTTATTTATTTTTGAATCTATATCATATTAAATTATTTATTTATTCATATATGCATTTATTTTTTTTATATCTTATATCATAGGAAATTATTTATGCAATATTTTTAGCAAAAATTAGTTCTTAAATTTCGGATAATCAGATTGAAGTTTGTTTAGCGCTCAAGTTTATTTGTTTACTACCGTCCGTATTAGCGGTGAAAAAAAATTTTCTCTCAATATCAGCAGCCAGCTTAAGAGGGAAAACGAAAGAGCGGATCAGCCGTTCGCACAGCTCAAGGTCGTTGACCGAGGAGTTTAAG